GGCCTGAAAATACAAATCATACTGAATTGTCATTTATAGAAGGCATCAGATGTTGTTCAGTGGTGTGCAAATGTCTTACAACATGTACATAATCCTGTAATGCCAAATGTGTCATATTTGATTCATACGGTTTCTGAAATGTTTTGCGTCTGACACCTTTTGCATAATTTAATGGTAAAAACTTTGCTCAAAATCCTATTTTACACAATCAGATACACCTGATAACAGGGGGCAGACGACTACACAAAAAATAATCTTGATTTATCGCATAGTAATAAATGATTAATGCTAAAAATGTATTTTTTTAAAAGGCCAAAAAAAGACTTAAAACCAAAAAAAAAGTAATTTTCTGTTTTGTTTTATTCTTGGATCAGGCTTTAAAGGGTTAAATGAGATAAATGAGTCAAGAGCAGATTCTGTCCAATTCTGGAGAACTTGAAAGTCAAGTTTTGAGGTTAAAGCTACTATTCGAAACATATTAAAAGCCAAAAAAATGTGTTTTATTTTTAGGTTTTGAACAATTCTGTGCGCAATTAACGGTAATCCTGACGGATAGTTGTGCTGGGACGCGTGTTCTTTTATTTCCGAGCAGAAAGCAGGACGTCTGGAGCTGAAATGGGGGAGTGGGAGCTGCTGGGTCGTTTGCTGGATAAGGTGCAGGGTCACTCCACGGTGATCGGAAAAGTCTGGCTCACCGTCCTCTTCATCTTCCGCATCATGGTCCTGCGCACCGCCGCCGAAAAGGTCTGCTGGTTTAACCCTATAACGCCATATTTATCATATTCGATACGTACGATTTCTGAAAAATTGAGCATCTGAGGCTTAGTGCATCATTTCATGGTAAAAACTTTGTTCAAAACCTTGTTGTACACAATCAGGTATAGCTAATAACACCAGGCAGAAGGCTATGCACGATAATTTTGACTTAGCAGAAGGTAATAAATGACGAATATTCAAAAATAATTTCATTTTTTTCTCATATATTTTGTGACGGGTCAAATAAAGACTTTAGACAACAAAAATTATCCATATATTTTCTGGGATCAGGCTTTAAAGGAGTCATATTATACCCTGTTTCAACAAGTTAAGCTAGTTCCCTGGTGTCCTAATGTAATGTCTGTAACAAGCTTTGGTCAGAATCCCATAAGGATGAAGCCCAATAGCAGTTCAGTCCCCCTGCCTAACCCTAACCCTAACCCTAACCCTAACCCTTACCCAAAACAGCCCCGTTCAGAGCGCTCGCTTTGGAGTGCCTGTCTCTTTAAATGCAAATGAGACACAGGCAATCCACCCACTTCTTCAGGGAGGTGTGCCCACGTCGGCACGCTAACGCTACCATGCTAACGCTACCATGCTAACACTGCCATGCTAACGCTACCATGCTAACGCTACCATGCTAACGCTACCATGCTAACGCTCGTCAGAAACTACCCACTGCTGAAACCTCCTGATTTATCTCCTGGATTCAGACTGAGGCGGCCCACAAAAACATGACTGAGTCATTTTTTTTCACACTTTGCCTGCCGATAGGCCCTCCACAGTCCCAAATGTACAGAATCAGATTATTAAAAACTTGGTTTTGCGTAATATGTCCCCTTTAAATAAACTGAGCTGGACGTTTAATGACCAGGTTTGGGAAATACTGGACTAGGCTTTTCCTGATCCGATATCTGGACCCATATTTGCAAAAAAAATGCGTATCGGCCAACAGGAGAAAATGAAGATTCAGAATCCAGATCCTTTTTTTTTAAAGTCCGATCCCACATTAGCATTAGCATCTGTAACCCACAGGTCTGTGTCCTAACCATTAAGTTGTTATCAGAGTAATTTTTTTTCACACTTTGCCTGCTGATAGGCCCTCCACAGTCCCAAATGTACACAATCAAACGATTAAAAACTTGGTTTTGCATAATATGTCCCTTTAAATAAAGGGTTAACCACAGTCAGAGGAGGGAATTGTGTGTTTTCCGAGGCCCTGAACGTGTCCCTGTGGTCTGGTCCAGGTCTGGGGGGACGAGCAGTCGGACTTCGTGTGCAACACCCAGCAGCCCGGCTGCGAAAACGTCTGCTACGACCACGCCTTCCCCATTTCCCACGTCCGCTTCTGGGTGCTGCAGATCATCGCCATAGCAACGCCCAAGCTGCTCTACCTGGGCCACGTCCTCCACGTGATCCACGTGGAGAAAAAGGTGGGGGAGCTCAAACAGACCTAAATGGACAAAAAACATTCAATTCCGTCTGGCTGCAGACTGCAGGAAGCCAAGGATGGATATCCAACTCCCCCACATCCAAGTCGGCCATTTTGATTAGGTCACCAATAGGAAGATCCCAGGCAAGAAAATCCTAATTGCTTCATGGCAATATAGACATTAATTTAAAAATAGTTAAATGAATCTTGCAGACTCTGAATTAAACTCTATACATAATATTATGTTAAAATAGTTTATGTTAAATAGGTTTGTACAATAAGTCCAAACAAGTTTAACCGAAAAATATTTATTTATCACAATTATGAAGGGGTTAGGGTTAGGGTCATTAATCTGGGCCACTGGCCGAGGCTGATGGCCGCCCACCCTGAGCCATGGTTCTGCTCGAGGTTTCTGTCTGGTAAATGGAAGTTTTTTCTTCCCTGTGTCGCCTAGTGCTTGCTCATGGTGGGAATTGTTGGGTTTCTTTAATTAACTTCAGAGTAGGGTCTGACCTGCTCTGTTTGGAAAGCGCTGTGAGACAACTGTTGTTGTGATGTGGCGCTATATAAATAAATAAAATTGAATTGAATTGAATTGAACCCCAGGTGTACACAATAGGTAATCAACACATGACGAGACACCAGACATTCCCCCAGACGTGACATCCTGACATCCTGGTTCTTTTGGTCTTATCAATGGCAGCTAAAGGAGGGGTTGAAGAACCGTGAGGATCTGGATGACCAGACCAGGCTTGTTGAAGGAGATGTCCATATTGCTGTTAGACCAGCTCTTCCTTTAGAGGGCGTAGATGTTATCTTAGGGAATGAATCAGAATCAGAATAAGGTTTATTGCCAAGTAGGTTTTTGACTTACAAGGAATTTGCCTTGGTGTTTGTTGAGAAGTAAGGAAATACAATGTACAAATAAAACTATAGAACAGAAAATATAAAACTAAAAAGTACAATCTTTAAAAATATAGGTCTGAGAATAGAAATATGGATATAAGACTCATTAACTCATTGACTGCCAGAGTTTTTTGAGCATTTTGACAGATTTTTCAAGAGCCACAGAATAGTTTGTGTTATGACTATGTAAACACCGAACACACCAAAAGAAAGAGTAGACTCTCTTCTTTCATCAGGAAAGTTGTTACCTCCTCTCCGCAACTGAGTCCTCCCTGAGATCCCATTTCCTGACATCCTGGTTCTTTTGGTCTTATCAATGGCAGCTGAAGGAGGGTTTGAAGAACCGTGAGGACCTAGACGACCAGACCATCCTGTTCCCACGGACTTTAGTGAATGAGGGGCCAAAATTTGGACTTTATTATTCGTCAGAATAGGCCCATAATAAGATGTGTACTGTGGGAAAGCAGCCCAGTGTGTGTGTGTGTGTCTGTTTGTCCCTGTGTGAGTGTATGTGTGTGTGTGTGTGTGTGTCAGTGTGTGTGTGTGTGTGTGTGTGTGTGTGTGTGTGTG